GAAAGATCCGATCTGAGATTCTGCGGCGGAGCTCCGTCGGCGTTTTTGACCAGCTTTAAGCAGTTTGGGCCTGTATTACAGGCCCAATATAAACTAATGTGAAGCTGAAGCGTGTGACACGTGACTCATATCTGCTCACACGTGCTGCCTCCTCTCCCTTATTAATGGGCTTTAATTCTTTAAATAAAGGGGTAATAAAACCTCACATAATTAGTGGTTTTTAATGATTTTGCTATCGTTTGAATAAAATAAAATTATTTCTTTATCAGTGATTTCTTGGGTAATTAGAACCTTCTTTTCCACTTAAATACCAACTATTGACCAAGAACATATAATAAGTCTATGAAAAAGTAATTAAGAAAGAGAAAGTAATCTAGGAAAGATAAACATAGGTAGACTGCAAATAAGATATGATTTCACATTTTCACTGACTTTTGATAATTTAATCTCTAATGAGCATTATAAAATAAAACTCACAAGTAATACATTTAAGTCTACAAAAGTGGATCAATTAATAAATTTTGAAAACACTAGTAGTGTAGCTAGAGGATCTGAATTCGACCGTGGTTAAAATTGCCGTGCCGACAAAAAATAAAAAAACTTGAGTTCATTGCCGTTACCGTTGCACTTAATCATAGTATAAAACAATAATGATGATGACGTCAAGAAAAAGTTATAATACTGACATAACCGATGCTTTTAGGAAAGCCCAAAGCCCATTAATCGTGATTTCAGGCTTTTTCAAACAAAAACACGTGTTCTCAAATCCAACCCTAGTTAAAATCGTTTTAACATTACAACCATGGTTAATATTTTAACCTCATCTTTTAATACTCTGTCTTCTCACTTTCCTCTTCTAACTAAAACACAGTCCACAGTTCCACTCAACAGTCTCAAAATCCCAAATGGCGAAACCACGACTTTTCTCTCTCCTCGCCTTCACTTTATCTCTCCTCGCCGTCGTATCCGGCCATAACATCACAAAAATCCTCTCCGAATCACCTGAATATTCCTCATTCAACAGCTACCTTACCAAAACAAAACTCGCCGACGAAATCAACAGCCGCACTACAATCACCCTCCTCGTCCTCAACAATGCCGCAATGTCTTCCCTCGCCGGAAAACATCCACTCTCCGTCATCAAAAACGCACTCAGCCTCCTCGTCCTCCTCGATTACTACGATCCACAAAAACTCCACAAAATCTCTAAAGGCACAACACTCACCACAACGCTTTACCAAACCACCGGAAACGCTCCCGGAAACCTAGGATTCGTCAACGTCACCGATCTCAAAGGAGGCAAAGTCGGATTCGGATCCGCCGTTTCCGGATCCAAACTCGATTCATCATACACCAAATCCGTTAAACAAATCCCATACAACATCTCCGTTCTCGAAATCGATTCTCCGATCATCGCTCCCGGAATCCTAACTTCCTCCGCCGCAGGAATCAGCAACATCACCGGGCTTCTTGAGAAAGCCGGTTGCAAAACCTTCGCGAATCTTCTTTTAACGAGTGGTGTACTCAAAACATACGAATCCACCGTTGATAAAGGCTTGACTGTTTTTGCACCGTCCGATGAAGCTTTTAAATCAGAAGGTGTATTAGATCTGAAGAAGCTCACGCAAGCTGAGGTGGTCTCGCTTCTAGAGTATCACGCCCTCGCTGAATATAAACCTAAAGGATCATTAAAGACTAATAAAGAAGCAATCTCTACGTTAGCTACTAACGGTGCCGGTAAATACGATTTAACGACGTCAACTTCCGGCGACGAGGTTATTCTTCATACCGGAGTTGGTCCGTCGAGACTCGCCGATACGGTGGTTGATGAGACACCCGTCGTGATATTCACGGTTGATAAAGTTCTCCTTCCGACTGAGCTTTTTGGGAAATCTCCATCTCCGGCGCCGGCACCGGAGCCGGTGAGTGCACCGACACCGACTCCGACTCCGGCTAAGTCACCGTCTCCAGCTGAAGCACCGTCACCTGAAGCAGCTTCTCCGCCAGCTCCTCCGGTGAATGATTCGCCGGAAGGAGCTCCGTCAGATTCGCCGACAAGTTCAGAGAACAGTAAAGCTAAAAACGCGGCGTTTCACGTGAACGCTCCTGCGTTGTTCACTGCATTGGTCACTCTTGCCGCCACATCTCTTTTGTTTTAAAACCACCCTTACAATTTCTAGTAATTACGTAGACTGCCACTCACTTGTTTTAATTTAATATCGACGAGTTTTTGTGTGTGTGTTATTTCTGTTTTGTTTGAGACTGGGATTAGAGAGTGAGGTTTAACTTAAATCTTTTTATTTAATTTAGACTTCGATGATTGTTATTGTTTTGGTGTGTTAGTTTGTAGTAATGTTGTTACTTTGAGATCTTTCTTGTAGTTTAACTAGTTTCCAGTTTGAGGTTTTTGTCTTGTTATTTTTGTTACGCTTTATAATACCGTAAAGTAACCACGCTTATCATTGGATTATGCAACGTCGTATAAATAAGTTGATGGATTCGTGATTTTCTTTAAAAATCTTTAAAGTGTGCAATGAAACCGTTGGAACTTGGAACTTTTATAAATATCACACGTGGAGAGAGAAGAGGGAGTGTCCCTTCGGGTCCACTTCCTTTATCATTTTCGTTTTAATAATTCAGGTTTTGACCCAAATCAAATACAAAATCATAATGAAAACTTTAGAATATTTCGTTCTAAGCTTTTCATAAACCAAGAATCAATTTTAAAGTCTAATCTAAAAGGTAACCAATTTGTTGTTTTTCAAGAGCTCAATGGGTTTACCAATTCCCACATCACCGACACACTTTTTAGTTCCAAGTTGCATACACAGCGTGTCGTTTTTTTACCTATTAAAACGACAACACATTTTATACGGTTTAGGGCTTCAAAAGTCCCCCGCTTTTTTTTCCCTCGTTTCAGTCTTTTCTCCATTTTCGCTCGACAAGTAGAGAACACAAAATGGTTTCCAAACGAATGATAGAAGACGAAAGAAATAACATAAAAAATACTAAAAAAATTCTGATCCATACACATTATTTGCTAGTCAAAATTCAATTTGAATGTTTTTTTTTTTCTTATAGCTAAAGAAACATAATGGATGAGAGTGCTAAGGTAGCTTGGGGTTCATATATGTTACCATCTTGAAATAATGAAATGGGCGTGTTGATTTTGATTTTGGACCACGCTTATGCAACAAAATTCTCATCATTGTTAAGCAGTACCAATTCCAGAAGTTTACCCCATTGTAAATCTTTGCCA